GGACGCCGCCGTAGAACAACAGACCGTGAAGATCGCCGCCTAAGATTATTGGCCTTAAGGGACCGTTTCTCCACTACCAGGTCCATTGCAAATGAATGGTTTGCAGAACACGGAAGACCTATTGGCATGCGAAGTGTTTACCGACGATTGAGAAGTTTTGGCTTGTTTTCATACCGGCCACACTGGGTCCTCCCTTTAACTCGAGAACACCGACGTAATCGCCTTGAGTGGTGCAGACAACGGTCACTCTGGGATGAGGAATGGAACAGTATTGTCTTTAGTGACGAGTCTCGATTTTGTTTAGGCATGCACGATGGTCGTGCCAGGGTTAGAAGGCGACGTGGTGAAAGGAGGAATCCACAGTTTTTTGTTGAAAGACATGTTCATCACACTGTTGGAGTTATGGTTTGGGGTGCTATAGCTTATGGTTCCAGGTCACCTTTAATCTTCATCAGAGATAACATGAACGCGCAGCGTTATATCCACGAAGTTCTAGAACCCCATCTTTTACCCTATCTTGACACCCTTGCAGATCCAACTTTCCAACAAGATAATGCCCGACCACATGTTGCAAGAGTCACAATAGACTTCTTTCAACATAATGATGTTACATTGTTACCATGTCCACCAAGATCTCCCGACTTATCCCCAATTGAGCACGTGTGGGATATGATGGGTAGGAGATTGCTCAATTTGCAACGTCCTCCTCAGACTCTAGAAGTACTTCGAGAGGAGTTGGTGGTTGCCTGGAATGAGATACCACAGGAGGACATTGACCACCTGATCAGAAGCATGCCTAGGCGCGTTGGAGAATGCGTAGCACATCAGGGTGCATCCACACATTATTAAAGGTCAAAGGGCTTTAAAGAAGTGCAATCATTTTGAAATTTTTATCATTTACTTATTATGCTTCAATAAGTACTTATACAAAGTTTTATTAAAATAAAACCATTTAAACTGGGTGTTCGGATTTATATGTCACTTAGTATATGATGCCAATTCTTGGAGTCACCTTATCGAGAAGGTTAAAATAATATTTTGGTTTAACAGTTCTACAGTCTATAATATATAATCTATCGATAAAATCTCTTATGCATCCTAAAAAATTAATATCATAATCTTTTCGGACGATTCATAGTGGAAGCAGGCTATCAATCAGGGGTACCGGAAAACTGTGTAGTTTTCTTCTACAGACGTGGGGGTCGATAGTACCATGTACGGCAACAGAGATAACGAAACAGTTCCTCCTTTTGGCGTCAAAATCGATGGTGCTCTGAAATGGGAGGCTCATGTGGACTTTTTTTGTAAAAAACTTTCAACAGTTATTCGTATTGCGAGGATTACAACGTATCTCTACGCAAAAAGGCCTGTTAACCGCATATTTCGGCGTATTTCGGTCGCATCGGATTTATGGTATCATGATTTGGGCAGGATAATTTCACGTTGTGCGTGCATTCAAATGCAATAAGCATTATAGTACGAACACTGCAAACCTCTCTTAAAAATGTTAGGGATACTTGTAATCTATCTACATACTTTATACTTTTCTACATATTCAAGAAAACTCTGCTACACAATCAAATCAGAAATCCGCAACTATGATACAAGACAAACTGGAGAACTAAGACTTCCACGTTTTACAATAAACTGCCTCAGATCACCCGCGAACTGAATTATATGCAATTCAAAAAACGAATGAAGTGCATCCATCTCAATCAATTTTTAGTTTTTCTTGTGATGCATGTCTCATGTGCACTCTTTTTTTATTGTAAGTGTTTGACTTTCTCTTACTCCATGGTTTCTGTATCCAATGTCTTGTCATACATATCATTTATGTAATGTGACCAATAAACTATCTACATTTACCTATTTGAGTGAGTCAGAAGGTTAATGTACTTTTTATTTTGAAATTCCATCCGAAATAAAATCAAGAAAATATAAAAATGATTTTGAGAAAATTTGGCTGCTTTCATCCCCACAAATACTCAGAAATGGAAAACTTTTCAAGTTCTATTTTATTAGTTATTCAAACGCGCAACTCTGCCCCCATCTAAAAGACATCGTATTTCTTCCCGTTTCGGAGATCGCAGTAGTAAGAGTCGAATTTGAAATACACGGTATACCGCACTGTTGATTGCTAGAAAGCATGAAACAAAGTTGTATACGGTTGGTTATGGTCACATAAACGGAAGGCAAATAGATCATATTCAGCCTGAATTTGGTTTATCCAAACTTTGCATATTACGTGGGATGTCTTTAGTTTTGCATATGGAAATAAAACAACACGGTAGATAGTTTTAAATGACCTCATTGTTTTTCGAAGTATTCACCATGAAGATTAATACACATCTGCATGCGCTCGAACCAATTTTCGAAGCACTTATTCCACTCGTTTGCTGGCAGATCCAAAACGGCATTTTTGAATGCGTCAACTGCTTCTTCTGGTGACTGGAACCTTTGACCACACAGTCTGTCTATAATTATCGGGAAAGTAAAGAAATCTTTAGGACCTAGATTGGGACTATATGGAGAATGGTCCAATAATTCCGCTAAATACTGCCTTGTTTTTTGGGCTATGTGCGAGCTTGCATTGTCTTGGTGGAGGATGATTCTTCTTTCGGGGTTGATTTTTCGAAGCTCGGAGATGACTTTTGGCAAATAAATGGTGTTATACCAATCCGCAGTAACAGTTCTTTGCTCATTAAGAGGAATTGTTGCAATATGACCCGCTTTTGGCACAAATGTCGCGACCATCTTTTTCGAAACACTTCGAGAATGGATGACTTTTGTTGGCTTTTCTTCACCTTGGAACACCCAAACAGCCGACTGTCGTTTATTTTCTGGTTCATAACAGTAAATCCACGATTCATCACCACTAACAATGCTGTACACATTTTTTGAGTTTCCGGAATTGAAACGGTCAAGCGTTTTTTGACACCAATTAACCCTGGCTGCTTTCTGCTCTTCAGTCAACAGGTGGGGTATCCAACGAGAAACTAATTTTCTTACTCCTAATTCTTCATGTAAATTTTTTTGAATTGAGGTCTTTTAGATCTTCAAGGACGCCTCAATCGCCACCCTGGAATCGTCGCTAAGACTCACCCGTCCACGTTTGAATTCTCCATACCAACGGGAAATTGTCGACTGATGTGGCGCTTCGTTGCCGAAAACAGACAGTAACTCAGCAAGGCATTCTTGTTGCGATAATTGTCTCTGAAAGTTGTTATAAATTATGGCGCGAAAATGTTATCGGTTGAGTTCCATTTTTCTAATGACTTGGTGACACTTAAAATTTCACTGTGGTGAGAACACTGCACGTATTGCTGTGAAACTTTGCATTTAAGTTTACTAAAGAGTGAGGTTAAGATTCAGTTCTGACGTTCGATCCGCGCGCCCTGCTATGTTTCTATATGCAAAACTTAAAAGACATCCCTCGTAATAATAATAATCGTAATGTTTATTAGAGCACTCATACAAAATAAAGATACTGGCATTTCCATTTTTTACCGTCGCCTTCAGCAATTCCAAAGAGAATCCGCAAATTAAGATTATTTTATATTGACGTCAGCATCATTTTATCTCTAATTTTACATACAGTAAGCAATGTAAATAAAATCTAATAGTAAATGCTTTAGAATAATCTTTAGCTTCAAATACTTGTTGGAGAAGCACCTTCTTAAATTCCTTTCTAAAGTGATGACGTAATTTGGAAAAGTTCTAAGTATTTATTTATTAAACAAGGTGCTGAGAAAGTGAAAGCTTTTTTGAATATAGTCGTTACATAGCCTGGAATTTATATCGTTTCTTAGAAAAACATAGCGAATAGAGGTTATCTTCTCTAAAACATCATACAGATAATTTGGAGATTTATACCTTAAGACTTTACAATAGGGCACCATAAAAATCAATGAACGGTACTTATATTTCTCTCACATAGTAACCAGTGATATGCTCTTGTCTACCTTTATCATTATAACAAAATCTTATGCAACGATTCTGTAAAATTTGAAGTTTTTGTGTTATTTTCTCTGTAAACTGGTAGAATGGTGAGTACTTTATACTCAATGTTTGATGAGACGCCTATGGCGCACTTGTACCTTCGGTTGTAACGAGCTGCCAATCGAACATACCGGAAAACTGTGTAGTTTTCTGCTACCGACGTACAGTTTAGTTTTTCAGTGTACCTTTTTTTGTTTTTTTGGCTTCAATAACTATGACGTAAACTGTACTTATGAAAGCTAAAAAACATTAAACCACGTTGTATATGTATAAGGTTGGTTATGCTCATACAGACGAAAAGCACGGAGGCTGTTCTGCCTAAAATGTTTATTAGAAAGAGTGCATCCGACTGTCATCTTAAATCTTTAAAACTACAAAAAAATATATCCATCATATATATCATATCTGGTCCTTATTACGACAAATTACATACTCAGATGATGACGATATTCATACGAAGGACGGGAAGATAGAAAAGAGGATTGGTAAGTTGAGTTCCCAAATTTGGTACAAGTTTATTTTAACTTCTTGCTGGCTACAAAAATCGACTTGAGCTTCACATGACCTGAAAGTCATCATGGTTAAGGTCAGATCCAAGGTCACCATCGGATATCTGGGGAAAAATTATAAAAGTAATATCACGCAAGTTTCCCCATACGACTACTGGTTTTCAAGTTATATCACCGTTTCTGGATTTAACCTTGACCATGACCTGCTGTCACAACCATATTTGAACGTAAAAATTTCCGCTCTATTTACTTACAGGGTCAAAAATGAGGGATTCCAGTTAAAAAAATCGACTTGACCTACAAATGACCTTGACTTGAATATCTGGGAGAAAACTCCTATCAATCGCAAGGCCATTATTAGTTCACAGTTTATCGTGTGGTTCCGGAACTTTTCTGACACCCTGTATACCATCCATGGGACAGCCAGGCGTTGTTGGGAAGCGTTCAGATCACTAACGAACTTTTGTGATGACACACCTTTTCCTATTCCAGAATTACAAGGAAAAAGAGATGGGCAAGGTGGTGGTATACACAACCACAATGGGAGTGCTGCGCAAGACATACGCGGCATGCGCCCAAGTAAAGCGCATCTTACGCACCCTCCTGATAAAGTATGAAGAAAGGGACGTCTTCATGAGCATCGAGTATCAACAGGAGGTCAGAGAAAGGACGGGCAATGAGCGCGTGATCGTACCGCAGGTGTTTATCGACGGACAGCATATTGGAGTGAGTAGATATTGCATTTTTTTAATGCCAACAATAGAAATAATAGGGTTTTGCGCAGAGCAGCAATTTTCATTTTATACCTATACAGTGTGTTCCAAAAGTCATGGATCAAACAAACGGCGGTGATAGGGAAGGGCATTATTGTTTCTGCAGTTATCTTTGATTATCTCTCAGTCAGCTTTACAGGATCTTTATTCCCAAATGATTTATCGTTGAAGTGAAGATATCAGTGGGAAGTTAGTCAAGTTCATGTATGTGGGTATATATAGCAATCGGCTGAACCGTACTATTATACTAAAATACTAAGTGACATATAAATCCGAACACCCAGTTTAAATGGTTTCATTTCAATAAAAGTTGGTGAATGTATTTATCTTACTGTAAATAACGAGTGAAAAAATTTTCAGCCTTATCAGTTGGACATTCCGGTTTTTATACTGCTTTTTTTTAATTCACTAACACTCTAAAAATGAATATTTCAGCCGCAGTAAAGAATCAACGTTGGCGGATTTTGGTTCTTGACATCCTTTACGATCGGTTACGATGCCTAGAGTACGGAGACCTGTACGATTTCGTCAACTTAGTGAGTTTGATAGGGGCCGTATAGTGGGACCTCGGGAAGCTGGACTTTCTTATCGGGCAATTGCAGTTAGAGTGCAAAGAAGTGTAGACACTGTGGTTAGGTGTTGTCAGGCATGGCTTCGAGAACGCCGTACGCAAATAGCAAGGGGCACTGGACGCCTCCGTAGAACAACAGACCGGGAAGATCGCCGCCTAAGATTATTGGCCTTAAGGGACCGTTTCTCCACTACCAGGTCCATTGCAAATGAATGGTTTGCAGAACACGGAAGACCTATTGGCATGCGAAGAGTTTACCGACGAATGAGAAGTTTTGGCTTGTTTTCATACCGGCCACACTGGGTCCTCCCTTTATCTCGAGAACACCGACGTAATCGCCTTAAGTGGTGCAGACAACGGTCACTCTGGGATCAGGAATGGAACAGTATTGTCTTTAGTGACGAGTCTCGATTTTGTTTAGGCATGCACGATGGTCGTGCCAGGGTTAGAAGGCGACGTGGTGAAAGGATGAATCCACAGTTTTTTGTTGAAAGACATGTTCATCACACTATTGGAGTTATGGTTTGAGGTGCTACAGCTTATGGTTCCAGGTCACCTTTAATCTTCATCAGAGGTAACATGAACGCGCAGCGTTATATCCACGAAGTTCTAGAACCCCATATTTTACCCTATCTTGACACCCTGGCAGATCCAAACTATTTAAACTGGGTGTTCGGATTTATATGTCACTTAGTATACATAGTACTGAATGTTGTTAAACCTCAAAGACTATCAATAAATAAAGACACATATAACTGATATTGATATTGGCTTTTTCTAAACTTTTTCATTTTATACAGAGTGATTCACAAGTCGTGATTGAAAAATTGATGAAAAATTATACACAATATCGCATTTTAAGGGGGTCCTCTATGTAACATTTTTTACTAAAAAAAACTGGGTGTTGAAGTTTAAAAATAAAAAACATTTTTTTTAATATCTTCAAAACCGTCAACTGGAATGAACTAAAATTTGGTATTTGGACTAACCGAAGCATTGTCCAGATTTAAAAAGTCTTTACTCAAAATCAACGTGCACCAGTGGCGGAGACACAAGGGACTAGTGGCATTATTACTTAGTATATATTGCCAAAAGTATTACATATTCAAGTAGGTTTGTAGAAAAAATAGTGAATAAATAAATTGTACATCTAGGTATTATGACCTCCTAAAATACCTTGTAGGTAGTTAAATATCCTAAATCCTAAATAGTTTCTGCACAAGTTACACTGAGAAAAAAAATTAATCAAACCAAATTTTAATTAGGTCAATTAAAAGGTTTAATTAACTATGTTTAATTAAATTTCTTAAATCGTTTACTTAGATTGATTACACCAATTTATTTAAAATCAATGATTGTGAACCTATTATATAAGGGATAAAGCTTCACCAACTATTTGCCTGTTTGTCCAGAAACACGTTATAATATATCACCATTCACTTGAAGCAATTCTACTATTCGTCATTTGTTTGTTTGGGCGGTCCGTAGGACCTTTGCCCATTAGTCACTGTCTAATGTACGTTAGTCGAATCTGTCAGTACTGGTTGCCCAGAAACCAGACAATGTCAATGAAAAAGAGAAAGCGAAAAAGAATAAAAATGGAGAAGAGCAAAGAACAACAGAAGTGTCTAGTTTAAGAGGAGACACCTAGGCTTTTTGACTTGGTACACGGATTAATTTTGAGGTGAACTAAACAAATTTTTGATTCAATTTTGTTAGACTGTAATTTTAAGTGTACTAAAAGATCGATCTAATTTTTTATTACATTGCGAGTTGAAGCAATTCTGTGCTTTAAACTCAAAAATAATAAAGCAAAATTGGACTCACCGGAAATCAACGCATTTACATACATAAATAAACTCAACAGCACTTCAAACAGAGTATGATATTTTCAAATACTTTAAAGTCTACACCAACAGGAGGCTCCACTTCCAATATACAGGGGTGTTCCTTAATGACATGCAAATATTCAAGAGTGTGAATCCAGATGAAAAATTAATGTTAGTTTGCTTTATAAACTATGGTCCAAAATGTTTCCTTATAAAAACTCGGGGTGTTGAAGTTTTAGGAAAAAAATGGAAATTAATTGATATTTTCAGAACCGCTTTAGATATTTCACTGATATTTAGTTAAAATTAATAAAGTTGGATATTTTTCAATGCAAAAATAATTTTTAGCTTCAACAGTGGCGTGCGTACGGGTATTGACTTCGATATTTGTTAAGATAAAAACTATTTTTGAATTCCCCGTTCAATTTAAAACAAATGATCTCTCTCTTCTCTCTTCCTTCGATGCGCTATTTTTAATAAAAAAATAAAAACCGTTCTATTGTCTAACTTGCCAAATTAAACACATTAGGGGTAATGAGCAACAACAACTGACGACATAAAGATAACACAATTGTTGAAAATGGCCACCTTCACTTAGTATGCATGCTTCCGCCCTCCTCATGGAATTGCGCATTCGATGAAATATCTCTGGAGTGTTTTTTATTCTATCGCAAGCTGCAACTATTCTCTTAATCCCTCTATAGTGTTAATGGGACTTGTATACACTAGTGTCTTAAGATAGCCCCACAAAATGAAATCTAAACTGTTGAGGTCTGAGGACCTTGGTGGCCATTCTTGAGGCCCACCGCGGCCAATCCAACGATTTGGATAAACAGTTTGTAAATAGTTACGAACCGCTACACTGAAATCCGCTGGTGCACCATCATGCATGTACCACATATTGTTTCTTATTACTAACGGAACATCAACAATCAGCAAATGCAACAGTTGTTGAAGAAAATTGAGGTAAGTCTGTCAATCAAGTCGTCCCGGCAAGAAGAATGGACCAATAAAGTGGTTGCCAATAATTCCTGCCCATACGTTAACCGAAAATTGGTGTAAGAAATGGATTTCGGTTACGGCATACGGATTTTCTTCTAACCACAAATTCTGAATGGCATTTGTAATTTTTTGATGATACCACTGACAAGAAGGAAGCAATGCCTGTACTCTTAAAATATAGTGAGGATATAGCAAAAAATACACTAAGATTCTCCAAACAAATTGATGGCAAATATTTAAGAGTCTAGTCATCTTCCTCGTACTCGTTTCAGAATGTTCTTCGACTTCGTGCAGCACTGTTTCCTCAATTTCATGTGTTCTCACACTTAGAGGCCTACCTTCAGATGTTCCTTTTCTGGCAAAACCAGTTTCAACAAGACGACGACGAATATTAGAAAAGGTTCGACTATCTGGAGAAGCACGATCGGGATATCTCTGGTGATAAATCCGTCTGGCTTGCTCACCATTACCATCGGCAAGGTCATATACGTAATGCATTTCCGCCATTTCTGCATTTAAATAATTCACCATTATTAATAAAATTGTAAAAACTAAATAATGAAAAAGATCTCACAGCGAACAGATTTAAATAACAGAGACTTGTCAGATGTCAAAAGCCAGTGACATATTCCAGAGCAGCTAGATATTTATTGCTAAATTGCATTCTTCAATTATTACATTAATTTTCTTGGACAATAGAACGGTTTTTATTTTTTTACTCAAAAATGGCGCATCGAACAAGAACAATTCAGGAGAGATCATTTGTTTTAAATTGAACGGGGACTTCAAAAATAATTTTTCTTTGGCAAAAAACTATTGGCGTACTATTTTTTTCTTAAAAAATATCGAAGTCAATACTCGTACGCACGCCATTGTTAAAGCTGAAAATTATTTTTGCATTGAAAAATATGCAAATTTATTAACTTTCACTACGTACTAAATATCAGTGGAATATCTGAAGCGGTTCTGAAAATATTAATTTTTTCCTGAAACTTCAACACCCCGAGTTTTTGTAGGAAAACATTTTTGGACCATAGTTTATGAAGCAAACTAACAATAATTTTTCATGTAAATTCACACCCTTAAATATTCGCATATCTTTAAGGAACACCCTGTATAAACATTATACAATATAATGTAGCATTAAGCACATGTTTGGTATAAGTTCCCATCATTGATCGATATACCTGTATGGCTATCAGCAGTGATTCACGTATACACAGTGTTTCATTTGGAGCGAGAAACATTCTAACCATGGTTATGGGTCACTTGACACCTTATGCTCGAGTATTTCACTTGATCACCATAACTGATCCACTTCGCAGCTAATTCACCAACAACTGCAACATTCGAATATGAACCTCCTCGCGAAAATCACAAATGAAACTGTGGAGTTCGAAACGCGTCACTGGCATTGCACTGCGTTTGTCGCATAGTCCCAATCATTCACGATTGAAGGGCCGAGTCCTGTCGAGCCGCAATTCAGATAAACAGTTCAACTGTTTTTATTAAAATGTTTAATTGCTTTAAATGTACCTTTTCTTACTTAAGCTAATTAAACAATTTAATAAAACAAGTACATGGTTTGTTATTTTCAACCAAATTAGTTTAGTATATTACTTTCAATTAAACTGGTTCCAGAAAATTCGGTTTGATTGAACCGAATAATTTAGTCACTTAGGGTAATTAAAAAATGTATCCCTGGTAATGAAAATTTTCCAGAACAACACTGTTTAATCTTGTAAATTCTCATTTTATGAACCCATCCTATATGTCAACCTCCTACGTTCCGAACAGAGTCATTAAACGATTATACAGGTACATGGTACAGAGGCAACCTAATATGCTTTTATTTTCTATAAACATCTGAATGGAAGAAAACTGTAATAACACACATTTGATATTTTTTACTATTTTAGGATGCTGAGACCATAGAGAGGCTGAACGAATCAGGGGAATTGAGGCGAATTCTCAAGCCATTCAAGGTATGTAAAGTTCATCAAATTTGCTTATTTACGAGTTTCTTGTTGACTCACTCTTTTATGCCCTGTCCATAAAATGGGTACCTCTACAGAAAACAGCTATAAAATATAGTAGTGAAACAGAATCTAAGGACGGGTGCTTCATGCAGTACGGTAAGTTTTATTTTTTATTCAGAAATTATTTCGTAAGCAAAATTTTTTGCTTTGACTGCTCCCATATTGCATACCCCATGAGAATAGAGATTATGAGATCCGAAGAAGTTTTGTTTGTGACATGTTAGTATCTTTTAATTAAGCTTTCCTTTACATTTCAGTATAAATGAATGTAGTTAAGCCTCCCTTATACTTTGGTCAACTCTCTCATGGATCAAAAACCCATAGTTACAGCTCAGTCATTGCATCAATGGCAATTTGGATATTACGTAGTAGTAGCTATAATGATAAGTGTGATGCATACGTCTTTGAGTGGCCAAGTTATAATATACGTGTATACTAGGTCTGTAAATTAACTTATGGGACCGATTTCTTTTAAAAATGTTATTTAAATATAATTACAATTTTATATTGAAACCCTCAAAATGATTTCTTTTTGAAGCCACACAGTGCCGGATACGATTCTTCCACTCCTCATAGCAGTGCAGGAACGCCGATACTGGAATAGCCTTGAGCTGGTCGGTTACAGCCGTTTGAATGTTTTCGACCGTCCCAAAATCAATTCCCGTGAGGCGATTTTTGAAATATGTTTATTCGTTTATTGACATTGCTGTGTGACAAGGACCACTATCGTGATGCAACACCCAGTTGTTCTTGATTTGACGAACGGTGGTGTGAGTCAAATTTAACTCTTCCCTGCACGGCTATTATGTAAAAAAAACTAAAAAACACAAAAAAACCGACTAGGTAGTTTTTAGTGTGCAAATAGTTCATTCCACATTTGCCTGCTATGATCGCTGTTCGCTGGCGTTTAAACAACTCGTGCAGCTACAAAATGAGTTCACAACAAGTGTACAAACAGCTTGTGCTAAGTTAAAAATTGGAAAAAACCTACGAAATATCAAAAAAACCTAAGAAGTGTCAAAAAAGAACCGACGAAATGTCACTTTTCAAGATACGTAATATTACCGACCATTCTGACTGTCGATATTTTCATCGGTTCATCTTCAATCGACTCTCTCCTTTCTGAAAATGCCTTAAACATCATTGCTCGAAATTGATGTCATTCATTTTTAGCACAATAGAAAAAACTGTTTCACAAAAAAAATCGCTACGGACCACCAAATAACTCGAGCGAGTTCAAACTCGTACTGAAGGCGGATCACATGTTCTCCTGTCTCCTCTCCCAGCCCGGCGCCTCCAGTGTTGCCAGATCAAATGCTACGTTGAAAATCTCGTCACTTAATTTACAGACCTCGTAATTGCAATTTTAACCCACGCAGAGTCAAAAGGGGTTCAACTCTCCTGGATTTCCCCTACCTGTTAGGGCCTTAGCGTCAGTCTTTCCTACAAAAATTGTTAGACACCTTCATGGCCTCCTTGATTTCTATAGTCTTTTCTCTCCTTCAGAAGGCTAGTTTATGTCTAGATTTGCGTGACAACGTCAGCGCTCTCCTATTGTGAGGCTATGCTTTCTTTTTGAAAGTAGGACGTTTTTGGCTGAACAGTAGAAAACTACGAAAAGCAAGGAGGTCCTGAAGACATCTACACGACTGACGATACGGCCCTAAATAAATCACGCATTACATTATTACGCACAGGGAAGACTAGAAGCGCGAGAAGTGTTCATGTTCAACAAAATGTTTGCACAGGCTTCTACGAAGGTTAGGTTACTGTCACACGTAAGAAGGAAGTCTGTTCGAAAATTTAAGCTAATATTTTGTTTTCATTTTTATTAGAATTATCTATTTCAATTTTGATACGACTAAGTGTTTTAATTTATTTTAGAATTATCTTTGATTTCCACATGGTGATAAAATCAAGACATCCTGTGTCATTGTTACACTTTTCGACGGCTAGCGGTCAGAAAATTTAACAAATACCATTACACAGTACAAATTATCACTGCCTGCGTGTACGCAGGTGGCAACCGTTTTCAGCAGAAGCAGGACGACACTCCCCAATAAGCGCTAGATGGGTACTGACCAAAATCGCTCATTTATGATCATACAGGTGCAAACCTTGCCTTGGAATGAACTAGGTGCGGTGTTGCCAGACGAATAAATGTTGCAATATTGCAGAATTTGTGGCGATCCTGACCTTTCATTTCGACCTAAAATGGAGCGCCATCCCAACTAGCAAAGTAGTGCTATAAGCTTTTGGTAAAAGAACCGTTCAGCCATAAAAGCTCTCTATTGTTGTTGCCTGAACACCAAAATGCTGGCTTACTGTTGTGTGGAATGCAAATTTGCTTTCTGCAACATATTTGCTCTAAAATCAGGTGTTTAAATTATTCTTATAGCACAGTTATACAACAACCTTATAGGACAGGAATTTTTAGCTGGTGTATAAACGTTTATACAACTATTTTATACGGCATATTTGCACGTTAGTCAAAATGGTTGTGTTGTGGCATCCATGGTAACGTTTATAAAACAAACCCGAGCCTTGTTGTTTTGTTGTGCAAATTTACTACTTTAATTAATTACTCCCAACGGAAGCACTTATACAACTGTTGTTTAGGAACTGTTAAAGGCATTTGTTGCTAAATATGTTGGTATACAACTTCACCATAACCTAACTTTCTGCTGTCATATTTTTGTTAAAATGTTATAAGCAATATTTTAAGACAAACAACGCATGCATATTGGTTCAAAAGTTTTATCAACTGTTCAAACAGGAGATATAGATCTGGTACAAATTATGGGTAAATCATTCGACTCTATCGGTATTTCATTTCAGACATTTGTCAAATTGTTGTATAACACCTGCAGGCAATACCAAAATATTCTAATAAACCAAAGACAACATGGACGATGCCATGATTATACACAACCACCCGCCATATTGGGCAAACATTTATTCCTCTATTTAATATTAAATAATTATGTTTCAGTTCGAAATTACAGATATAAAGTGATAAACATTAGTGTAATTGTGACTAAATATAGGATTTGTGGAAGACTTAACGCAGATAAGTTCAGTTTTCCATCTTAAAACCTAGACATACTTTTGATCATTATTAAAATATGAATCAAAGACAAAGCCCGTAGAAATTGCGTAACTACTTTACACGATAATCACAATAAAATTTGCTGCGCAAGTAATTCAATAGCCCTATATCACAGTGTAGAACTTTATCATATACCTGTGTATGAAATTCACAATCGCCGATATGTAAGTAAACAAGATGACTGTAATGTGTTTGTTATATATTATTCACTTCGTCTATACAATACATAAGAAATAGTTTGGTTGCAATAAAGTAGATTCACGTAACAGAATAGTTGTATAGTTGACAAAAACTGAATCTTGCACTGACGCAAATGTCCTATAGCGGCTGCAAGGGGCTTACACTTTTGTTGTATAACTGTTACCGCAGCCCTTATACAACCTCTTAACTGACTGAAGTGTCCTATTAGGTGTACCCATTCCGCTTGTATAGCTGTTCTAAGAGGGTTTTGCCAATGTTCTTACAGTATACAACGCTGTGTAAGGAATACTGTATAATCATTCTTGCAACTCTAATAGGAGTGATAATTGTTAGTTGGGATGAGAACCGATCGGGAATCAATCCCAAACAGATTCGACACAATTCAAAATTCAAAAATGTTTACGCTCAAAATATAGCCATTATTTGGGCGTAGAGAATAAACTACCGCTTATTTTCAACATGCATCTTAATTCAATGAATTGGTGTAACATATTGGCAACGCGACAGATTGCCGCGTCAGAGTTGCTAGGCAATACGGTGATGAACTTCGCTATCCAGGCGGCTTCTATCTCTTTCGAACATATGCGTATACACATTTCTCTCTCGTACACATTGAACTCAAGTTATCAGACAAATTTGGTTCTGATTGTATATTGTTTTCCAGAGTATCGACGTGTGCTCCACCTGCCAGGTGTGTGGCGGCTACCGAATGTTGCCGTGCCAGATCTGCAAAGGGAGCAAGAAATCGGTGCATCGAAATCACTTCACAGCCGAATTTGTAGCGTTGAAGTGCATGAACTGCGACGAAGTTGGTTTAGTGAAGTGTACATCTTGTTCGGCGTAGTTACGAACAAATTGGTTTTGTCAGTTGCATCGTCGCATCTTGTCATGTAGGTTGTGAATACTCGCAATTCCTAAACAATTATTGGGATTCAGAGGGGTTAGTTAGGTCTGAGTTATACTGAAGAAGCAAGTTTCATCAAATATTTCGGTATTATCCAACGAATTTGAATAGGTTAGAAGGAGCTAAGCCTATATGTTTTCATTACATTGTTTGTCACCAAAATTCTGTAGATTTAGGGCATACATTTGGCTCATTTGCCTACCAAAGTGTTAAGCCTATACATCGGCGTACATTTTTTTTCTTTGGAGAGGTATTCAAGTAGCCAATCGTACTGGGTGTACTCTCGTTTAGCAGGAAAGAAATACAATATGTGTTGCCTTGTGAATCGCTCAGTTATTGTTAACAAGCATGGATAAATTATGTATGGCAAAAAAACAAAATTTTTAAAAATTGTCCTCATCAAAAATGACCCAATACCTGACTACTACTCAGTTTATCTAATTTTTGTGATCCGAGCAGATTCTTAACTAAAGTGAATACCTAGTTGAGCATAAGATGAAACATACCACTATTACATCGTTATTACTACATTTATCCAATAATAAAATATGGAAGTGTTTTAATCAATTTGATATTCACGTTCATGTAACGTCAGTTGAAACTTTTAGATTCAAAATCAAAGTAGATAAGACTCAAAGTAAAAGTTTCAGGTAGACATTTTGAATATCTATCAAAAAAATTGGTTTGTCTCCAATATGTTTCATTTTTCGATGCTGTCGTTAGGTATATGCTCCTGTAAACAAACAGATTTTGACTGATCACTCAGAGAAACAAGATGTGAACTGAAATAAATCATCATTACCTCACACCTGTCCAGGTAACAGCCCAACGTTGAGGTGCATTTCCTTTTGTAACGCCGATGACTATAATTTATTAACACTTATCGATCGTTAGTTTAAATGAATTTTTGCTGAAACATTCACCATTTTTGACAATTGTCTGGAACACTAAGACTATATGGAAACCACTCACTGTTATATGTTTTTGCTAAAAAAAAAAACACGAATTTCATGTAAAATGTCAGCAACTGTGAAACTGGCGCCTTGACCCTAATTGGCTTGTAGTATGACTACAGACTATGAGATTTTGGAGACAAACAAATCGCGTGACCCTTCTGTTTAGTCTGAATTTGTTGGTATTTTCCAATTTAATATGTTGCTAGGGTTTCCTAGTAAGAATCTGTTCTCGATATGCCATGACGGCCATTAAGGGGATGAGGTATTGGACGTGTTCGGCCAACGGGAAGTGGTCCAGCGGTACAGCATATACTGAATGGCAATAGCCGTAGAGTAGTTTCGATAATTCACGACATTTAATCAAGAATCTATCAAATCTAACAGACAGAGTTATCCCATGGCTACTGCTATCCAGCTTACAGACGCTGCATCGCAACACCGCTTTCCGTTTGCTGAACGCACTCATTAATATACATTTTGATTCAGTATGGTCAGTTTATTTTAGCAAAATATAGGTATAAAGAAAATTTGCTCAACATCCGAAAATCGTATGAAAAATCGATCTTAGGTTCAAACTCCATCGCTCGATGCTTGCCAATCCTTTATACTTACAATCCGTGGATTTTGTGAATAAGGTGAAAGCTGAATTGTTGTTGAGAAACGAGTAGTGCCTTTTCGAAATAAGTTGCTAGATAATCATGCGAGTCAGCTTCAATGGGGTTGACATTTTTCAAGCCGTTTTCGGTAACCTTAACATCCCACAAATATAGGTGCGATAGAATTAGATTTCTGCTTCATCTATGGGTCAGTTCATGAGGTATTTGGAAAGCAGTATTAAAAAATGAAATGAAACGATGCTTGGTGCTTCTGACAATGTATTGTAATTTAAGGGACTTAGGTAAAGTTAAGGAGTACGGAGGAGACTGAAACCACTATCTACAAATCATACACAGACCCAGAAAATAAAAAAGTGGTTTGTGCTTGGAGTCCGATTATTTTTTTCACTTTGCATTTTTTTATGCTGGACACGTGTCTGCAGTCAAAATTGGGGATCGATGATCAAGTTTCAGAGAAAACGCAGAAGAACGATCCACAGACTACAAAAAATAAAATGTGGTGTGTGCTGGGGGCCTCACAATTTTTTTCCGTGTATTTTCCGCTCTGCACACGAATCTCAAGTCAAATTTGGAGAAAGATGGACAAATTTGAAAGTAATTTAAACAACAGAACTGTAATTTTTTTTTTTTTTTGGTGGATGTGCCTCTCTCAAAGACCTCTGAAGATACTTCAGATTTGAGTTCAGCGAGAAAAAGTACATAGGAAAAAATAATGCGACCCAAAGGTACTTTTCCATTCTAACAAGTTGCGGCACATGTTGCTCGCTGCAAATACTTGACGCATTTTTGTCCTCGGCACATATTCTGCAACATGTTGCGGGCTGTTTCCATTCCAACAAACTTCTGGCTGATGCGCCGGCTCATAACGTGCAACATGTGGAGCAAATTTATTCTAACGGAAACGTACCTTTAGGTATGACGCTCAGTGGTACGAAACACGAAATTAGATGTTCGATGGTATGGAAATGTAAATGCCTCGAAAAGAATAATCTGAATTGTCATTAGAGACCATTTTAAGGACAGTTGATTGGACTTTTATGGGTTAAAACTACCCCTTTAACGGTGGACAGTATTTATGGTGCCAATGTCCAAGTACTTATTTCGCCGAAAATTCGTATGTGACTGGTATATTATGGTAGGTAGGTACGTAATTGAATCTAATTCTGTTCTGTCAAATTCAATGAATCTACGAGAGCAACAGCTTCTTCGATGCTATAACATATGCGTTGATTTTTATTCTCCGACTGAAACTTCGGTGCTCTCTTGATTTTTGTAGCTCGAAGCTGATACGTCTTGTTTAGACCTTCCTTGAATCAGCTAAATATGGTTGTGCATGAAAAAAATCGTATTTAGACTTCTGAACAGCAAGACTCGCGTTTTGTCCCACTGTGGACCGCTGGGTGAAGTATTGTGTACTTATGGGCATACAGAATTTGGGCTCCTACTTACTCCTTGGGTTAAACTCATATTATTTATGATGTACAGTTAACAATACAGATGGACATTTTTAATGCTAATGTTTGTAATTACGATTACGTCGGTATTTAAAATCCATATGATGCTCAAAAGTGTTATGTTTATCCAATTTAGCATATTATAGTATAGAAGATACTGAAAGTGATATTTTTTGCTATAGATATCCTATTGTAGATAACTAAAATATAAGACTCTTTTCTATAATACTGTATTTTATAAGTATAAATACAGTGTGAGCGATACAGGGAGAATCAAAAGTGGTGTTAAAAGGATACGTACTAACTTCTGATTTTTTACTTGCACACAGTGTATCTTGCATTACATGTTATAGTTTTACTTAATCAAAAAGTATCGTAAAAATCATATAGTTTTTTTTATGACGACGGAATTCTGTTCGAAACGCGAATCTAACATAGTCTTTCAAAGCTTCAAAAATATTTTTTTTACATAGTAGTGCCATTCGTCGTCAGAATGTCTCGAGTCAACGGTTTGACGATAAACACATTTCCACCACTCTTTCGTCAAACAAACTTAGTTATCTGACACATAATAACCTATACCTATACAAAACAATTTACGCATTTTTTTATGTATATATACTAGTTGTTAACTTATTTTTATGTTTTTTACATTCTACTATACGAATATAATGTTTATAGTACCAACGTTGTAATTTTTATAGTGTCATTAAAGTTTATTAATCATACTGAAGACTGGTGTATTTCACTTACTTCGTCTTGTTACACGACCCCCCAATATACCCACAATAAAAGTGATAACCTTCTCGCATCTTAACATGTAATTCGCCAATGTTTTCATTATTTCTGTCTGAATACCTCCCAAACTCATACACTCGATACCATAGAATTGAAATAATGTGTTCGTTTATTAAGTTTGCCCAACAAGTATTCATGCAGTATTAGTCTAATCATATTAGCAAACTTCCCCGAAATAATAGTAAAGTCGAGTTTTGTTGGTGCAAGTTGTTCAAAAGGGTGTTTAAAACATGTACGCATAAAATGGGTACATTAATTTTTGTGGGCAAACTTTTTATTTGACAACAAAGAATGAGAAAACGTGTTTTTTGGGATTCAACCGAAAGTGTTGACAGGAACGAAAAATCTTTTCATATAAGATTTGTAGGTATTTTAGAGACCTAGAAAATGAGAACACAAAAAGATCCGACTAATAGCAAGAATGTTATGGCCGAACAACGAGGCAAAATGCTGGTTTTGGCACTTGTTGGTAATGCAAAGATGATTTCTTGCAGCTACTTGAAATCCTTCAAATCCGTAGTATTCATCCTTTTAAATAACTACAACAATATTGGGGTATATTTGTCAAGTAGTTTTTTGAGAATTTCTAATTGTTTATCCCTAAACACCTGTTTTCCAGCTATCACTACTAGTTTAGTGATCAATATACAGGGTTCGTTCAAAGATCATTTAATAGCTAAATACACGTGTTTACCTTGCCGATATGAATCACAAACCATTCCGAAAGATAAATGTTATTTTTATGCGAAAAACAAAGGTTACGTTTTTTTCTTCTAAACAAACATTTCGTATTTGTGAGTAATTGAACGAATTCGCTACGATATTCGACAAACATACGTTACCATACAGAGTTTAAAACAAAGCGGATGTGTCTATCATCTTTTGTTGCGAATTACTCACATATACGAAATTTTTGAATTGGTTTAGGAGAAAAAACGTAACCCATCCTTTTTGCATAAAGACAACATTTATCTTCCTGAATGGTTTGCGATTCATATCGGCAAGGTAAACTAGTGTATCTTGCTAAAAAATGCCCTTTGAACCAAACCTGTATATTGCTCAGTAAACTAGTAGTGATGGCCAGAAAACAGGTGTAATTAGAAATTCTCAAAAACTACTTGACCAATCTACTCCAATTTTGTTGCGATTATTTAGAAGTATGAATCCTACGAATACGAAGAATTTCAAATATCTACGAGAAACCATCGTCGCATTACCAACAAGCGCCAAAACCTGCAGTTTGCCTCGGGTTTCGGCTATAAGTTTTTTGCTATTAGTCGGATCTCTCTAGTTGTGGTCTTATTTTGTATATATCATAAATACCTAAAAATCTTATATGAAGAGTTTTCTCGTTCCTGCCAACACTTCCGATTGAATCCCAAAAAACACGTTTTCTCATTCTTTGTTGACTCATAAAAAGTTTTCCCACAAAAATTGGTGTACCCATTTTATGCGTCCATGTTTCGTATACTCCCTTGAACAACTTGCAGCAATAAAACCAGACTTTACAATTATTTCGCAAACCAGGGGTATTTTCATCTAATACGATTAGAATATATGTCCGACAACGCAGAATGTATAAAAAATAACCCAACTTTCCTAATTTTTCTGTGAGGTCATTTTCATTTTTGTTGAATGCGTATTCCAGCTGGAACCGAAAACCATAGCCCATTCACCATTTATTGATTAATGAAATGTTTCATTGTGTACTTCTCACGGTAATTCAAAGAAAATAGCGATGACCGATACCGAAAATTGAGTTTTAGCACAACAAACGGCGCATATTTTTTGGGAACCCATGGTCTGGGTGGAAGCTTGTCTTCTAGGTCAGGGCTGTCCAACTTAATGTGGCCCAAGGGCCACTTCAACAAAAAATGCAGTTTTTAGGGTCGCATTATAAAATCTTTCTATACAACATTATTACTGAGTTAATGTAAGAATTGTGCATATTCGTTATTTGAGAGTAATTTATACATGTGATGTATACATGAGCCGTGAAGCGGGCCGTATGTTGGACAGCCCTGTTCTAGATAAATCGGGTGCGTAGAATCCAAATTCGATGTCAATTTAGGGCTAAGACTCAGGGGTGGTCTTGGGTTACCAGTTGATTATCAATTTTTCATCATAGCACCATGACCCGTAAGGTATTTTTTAAGACGGCATGCATCAGTAATATAAGGGCATCTAATTTTTCCGAAAAAACAGGTGCAAGTGCAAAAATCGTCGTCTTCGACACGGATTTTTGTTGCCACCAGCACCCATGCTTCATGTTAAAATATTACTTAACGACGTGTTTTTTCAATTTTTTTACATGAAAAAAATATATACCCGAAAGGTATTTGACACGACTATTTCATGAGTATATAAATTCCTTAAACTGTTACCATATTGACGCATGGGCTTTAACGGTATTGTAACGTACTGTTCTCTCAATATTAGTCTGAGAATCATTTTCAAAGCGACGACTGATTGTCACTACATAAGCTGACTAGCACTGTTTAAAAACAATATTACAAAATCTATTGACCATAAAATCAGAAAAATTGTTTATCGTCGTTTTCTGCTGTCCTAAGAGACCATAATTACTTGTTATCGAAGATATTGTAATTTTTGGCGACAACAGATGTCAAGTTTTGCCGCATGTAAACTCGAAAAAACTGCTGACAGGTGCTGTCATACAATTTTCCATCTAGAAACCATTTGTAATTCAAAATTACGCGTTTGTGATTTCTAGAAATTAAGACGACAGAAATAGTCAAATTTAACGCCTCAAATACCGATACTGATGTAATTCAAAATATGTGTTCATGAAACAGAAAAGAATTATCAGAAGTATACCAGGTGTTAGTGCTAGACCATCATGTAGAGATCTGTTTAAGAGATTCAAAGTACTAACACTTACTGGTTTATGTATTTTGGAAACTTGCTTATACATATGTGTTTTAATTTTCAGTATCTATGAGGGGTTTCATGTTACAAAAAAAGGCGTCAAGTAGGTTAACTCTGCACTCCCCACGCAAAAGGATTATGTGTAGCACAAATTAGACTGTATTGGAACAAGACCTTATATCCTGGATAGAGGATAGTTGGTTTGCTTTCTTTCGTCGTCCGTGAAACCAAGCCTCGACCATTCTGGCGAGTTGCTAAAAAGCACGAAGCAGCTGTTTGTGGTTGGCTGTCTTTGGTTGATGACCGCGTACTTAAAAGTTATACACTCTAAGGAAAAAGTTAGTTACGGACATTGTACAAATGGTACTATAAAGGTTTTGCAATACAGCTTTATTTATTGACTTCGTTCAAAGTAATTTCTACCACATCGCAGGGAGCAGGATCTGGACTGTAAGGAGGGTGCTCAATAAGTTTCAATTCAGTAGTGGTAAATACTTGGTGCAGGCTGTGAGGCGGTGAGCTGGAGCGTGTCCATTCTTGAATGTGGCTGCAGATTTTTCATAGACACTATGACTTTAGGCAGGCACTGTGTAGTGTACCACTTAGCTGTGATTGTCTTCTGTGTGTTCAAAGCGGCATGCTCCACAATCCCGCTCGATTTGAAAAATACAGCAATTTTTTTTTCTTAGATCTGAATTTTCTGACAGCTACGGGTGAGTCCTCATTATCAAAGACCCAAACTTTGTTTTGAGCATTGGCCGACAAATCGTAATAATAGAGCCAAGTCTCGTCACCTGTAACGATGCTGTTCATATACCAATATTGCGCCTTATCAAACATTTTCAGCATCTATCGGCACCTAGTGATACGACGAGTCTTCTGCTCTTCCGTCAGACTGTGGGGTTCCCAGAGAGAACAAAGTTTCCTTACGTGTAAATGGTCATGCAGAATTGAATGAATTGCTGGTGCATGAAGGTGTGCGGTCTCCTCTATCTGTTGGTATATCACTCTCCGGTCTTCGTCAAGCATTTTACTCACAGCAGTATTGTTTTCGTCTGTTACTGACGTTCGCGGCCTTCCTTCCCTCTCAGCGTCCTTCAGAGTGAAATGCCCCTTTGGAATTCTTTGCACCACCTGAATATAGTCGTACGATGAGGACAATCATTTCTTCAATGTAAGCATCATTGCTTCTAAGCACTGGTCTATGCTTAAACCATGCGTCAAGTTATGCCGTAGATCTGCCCTTATCTCACTGCTCGATCACGATGCCATAGTCCGCACTTTACATTGTCAATACGAATCTACAACTAAATCATAGACGTGGTGCTGCTGCATATTGCAAAACTTTTATAGTACCCTTTGTAGAGCAGATGATGGCTCGCAGGCCTTGTAAAAAAGCGAAGTTTGATCGTTTGTTATTTTTTTCGTTTTTAGCCTTTTTCCCGCCGCCACATGACCAATTTTTAATCACTATAAAGCATTTTCGTCATTGGCATAGTAGTAACCTTGCGTGAATTTCATTAAAATTTGACCAGTACTAAGTTATATCGGAATCAAGGATTAGCGGACAGGCAGACAGAACGAACTGAAATGAGTGGCATGGTTTTTCGTGATGTACATGTCATATAGCATCCAAAAAACATAACCCATTTTCCAAATTTTACTTGATTATAATGCTTCCCCGTCCAGTAGCGTCGGAAGTTATATCTAATGGCATAGATTAGACAACAGCGGTGACGTAGTGGTAGAGATTATGGGTCTACTGATCACTCAACGTGCGCTGCGCGGGTTCGAATCCCGTCCCAAGAAAATTTGTTCTCTTGGCTATGGATGTTTCAATTGTCTATGGCGGGAACCAGTGGCGACGCGCTTATGTAACCATTGTTACCATTGGTAACAGTAAAAAATCTTAAAACTAAATAATTTATGACTTAGGCCCGTATCGTCAGTCGTGCCTACAATTGTAGGGCGCCTTTATGGCCTCCTTGATTGTCATAGTTTTCTACTTCTCCGTGTCAGAACTTTATTTTGAGGTTATGTCACAAA